GTTGTTGTAATAGGTAATAGTAGTAGTAGTAGTTGTAGTAGTAGTTGTTGTTGTAATAGGTAATAGTAGTAGTAGTAGTTGTAGTAGTAGTTGTTGTTGTAATAGGTAATAGTAGTAGTAGTAGTTGTAGTAGTAGTAGTTGTTGTTGTAATAGGTAATAGTAGTAGTAGTAGTTGTAGTAGTAGTAGTTGTTGTTGTAATAGGTAATAGTAGTAGTAGTAGTTGTAGTAGTAGTTGTTGTTGTTGTAATAGGTAATAGTAGTAGTAGTAGTAGTTGTTGTTGTTGTTGTTGTTGTAATAGGTAATAGTAGTAGTAGTAGTTGTTGTTGTTGTTGTAATAGGTAATAGTAGTAGTAGTAGTAGTAGTAGTAGTAGTAGTAGTAGTAGTAGTAGCGATAGTATTTTTAAAATGTATTTCCAGAACGAGTTACAGTTACAAAAAATGGTTTTTCATAGGTGTAGACAAATGTATCGATCATACAAAACTTTCATTTCTTTGTTATTGTTCACCGGAATTTTCCAGGGTGGCCTTCATTCATTCATTTTTTATAATTTCTTACTTATTTGTTTTATTTTGTTCTACTGCCTCGCATGCTGTTACAGTTTCTGCGTCTGTCAGATCCTGATTTTTAAAGAAAAATAAATAAAAAAAAAAAAAAAAAATTAGTTGGACCCGGGCGTTCGGAAGAATGAACTGTACGTAGACGAGCACGGGTCGGTGGAGCTGATTCGCCGGCGACATCATCATCATAATCGCTACGTTCCTGATAATGATGACGACGAAGACGATGGTGGTGGTGGTGGAAAGGCTGATGATGATAGTGGGAGTAATAGTAATGATTCCGATTATTTCGTAAGTGGTTTCATTTACAACTCAAGCTACTTTCGGTACCTATTTTGTATTTTAAATATTGTTATTATTATTGTTATTATTATTTGATGATAATGTTGTTTATATTATTGCTATTATTATTACTATTATTAATATTATTATTATTTAATTTTTATAATTAAATTTTTATTATTAATATTATTATTATTTGATTTTTTCATATTTAATTTTTCATTTTCAAAGATCCCAGAAACGTTAAAGAATGTGGTGAGGGAAGACTTAATTATTTTCCATTAGAATTATCTGTATTTCAGTTGTAGTAATATTCGAAAACTTGTAGCTAGTAGTAGTAGTAGCAGCAGCAGTAGTAGTAGAAGCAGCAGTAGTAGTAGGAACAGTAGTGGTAGTAGTAGCAGTAGTGGTAGTAGAGTAGTAGTAGTAGTAGTAGTAGTAGTAGTAGTAGTAGTAGTAGTAGTAGTAGTAGTAGTACTATCAGTAGTAGTAGCAGCAGCAGTAGTAGTAGCAGTAGTAGTAGCAGTAGCAGCAGCAGTAGTAGTGAATGCAACTACGATTATTATTATTATTATAAAATTACTCGTCATTACAGAGCGATTTGATAATTGTCGGCGACCCGAAGCACCATAAATGGACACCCGACGACGAGCCGGTATTTTAATATGACGTCATAACGACGATGATGGTGATGATGATGACGTCATTATGATGATGACGATGATGATGTCAAAATGGTGATGATGACGTCAAAATGATGATGATGGGGATGTCATGATGATGATGATGGTTAATGAATAACTTTTTCCAACTCGTTAGCTGCAGCTTGTTCATGTAAGTTCTTTTTCATTTAAATCTGCCATCATCATCATCATCATCATCCGTATTGACATCATCATTATCCTCCTTAATTACATCATCATCATTATAATCAACTAGTCATCATCATCATTACGGTCGTCATCGACGTGACGTCATAATGACATCACCACGCAGATGCCGAAAAAACCAGGTCAGCGACCTTGGGAGGCTGAACCAGTTTGGATATTTGGGTCGGTCGGCTGTCTGGTCATCTTCACTAATATCATCGTCATTTTTTATTTTTCTTTTCGTCCATTCATTGAAACTTTTTCTAAAATTTTTTTGCTCATGTCAGCCATGTTTTCATTGCTTGCCCTGGTTATATATCTCGTTACTTGAGAGTGGAGTGTGTCGTTCTGCCGTCCAATTGGCGTTAAGTGGATGAAGCGTTGAAAGTTATGTTTGTTTGTTGTTTTCTGGCTTTTTTAATGCATTTTTCGTCTGTCTATCTACCTATCTATCTACCTAACTATTCATTTGTTTGTTTGTTTGTTCATTTGTTTGTTTGTTTGTTTGTTTGTCTGTCTGTCTGTCTGTCCATTCATCTAACTAACCTTTAATTCATCCATCCATCTGTCCAACTTTCGTTCGTTCGTTCGTTCATTTGTTCATTCATTCAATTATTTCTTTATCGATTGTTTTAATCATTCCTTCATTCACTTATTAGAAGTATGAACTTTTAAAAATGTTTTCATTACCATAACTGTAAAATGTTATCATTTATTAATCATTCATCATACGCAATTAGGCCAGGGGTGGGCATACGACCCGCGAAGCTATTTTATGCGGCCCGCGAGACCTTGTTCGCCATTAGGTCAGGGGTGGGCATAAGGCCCGCGAAGCTATTTTATGCGGCCCGCGAAACCTTGTTCGCCAAAAAAAATTGTCGTCAGCCAGACATTATGACAAAAAAAGGAACCACAAGTCGTTAAAAATATTTGCTATTTAAGTACATGTGCGACCCTTCAATGGTCAAATAGTTCTCAATGAGGCCCTCACAACAAAAAGTTTGCCCACCCCTGCATTAAATGCACACTTAATTAAATCGATTAATTAGTTAGTTAATTAACTGATTACATAAATAATTAATTTGTAAATTAATTAATTTATTAAATTTTCAACTTCGAGTAGATCTAAGTACCGTGCGAGAAAGTGTAAAAAACTTTAATTAAACAAAACTGAACAAGAAAATTGTCAATTTGACCCTCTCTTGAATCTCGTTCTCTCTCGCTCTCCCTTTCTTTCATTTTTGCTTTATCTCTCTCTTTCCTTCCGTCTATTTCTACCTCCATTTTGAATAATCCATCATTTTCAAACAATATTCAATAATAAAAATTCAACTGAATGGTTTGGCTACAGTCAATGTAATGCAAATTACCTTTCATAAAAAAATGTCCGAGCCTTTGGTCTGACCATAATAGTCAAAATATTTTCTATTTTAAAAATCGGTGGTCATTTCTTTCTCTCCTTTTTTTTTACTTTTCCTATATTTCTCTCTCTCTCTCTCTCGCACCACCCTCATCTCACCTGCTTCTGAAGAGGACATCGGTGGCGAGGACAGCCAGGATGACGGCTGCAGCGAATATGACGTACAACTTGATGGCCACCATGCGGTACTCCACGTACACAAAGATGATGATCTGCACGAAGATGAAGAGGATGGCCAAGACGAAGGCGACCCCGGCATAGAGGTAGGGGTCAAAGTTCAGTATGGTCACTTTACCGGATGCCATTAGTTCTCTATTGACGTGGCTGTGACTCTGATCTAGCCAGACCTGTGCTTGTGTATGTGTGTGGGTGTAGTGTGTGTGTGTTTATGAATGTCTGTGTAATTTTTTCTCAGAGATAAATAAGTGAATGCGTCCAAACCAATCAAAATAAATTCGTGAATATGCAAATGGATGAATGAATGTGGATGAATGAGTGAGTGAATGAATAAAGCCCCTACACTTTCAAGAACTTGCTTATAAAATTCTTTTTCCCATTGTGACAAAGTCTGCGAAAATGAGTAAAAATTGATCAAAATAACATATTCATCGTCTCCATCATCATATTTGCCACCATTTTCATCGTCATTATGATTATACGTATAACATTCGGTAATTCATCCATCCATTCATCCATTCATTCATGGAACCTAACTAACTTCATTCGTTTCGTTAGCATCAACGAATGCGTTGAATATGACAGCAGCCCAACAACAACATGACATTAACATCATAACGTGATATGTATCTAATTTATCTCTATCTATCTATCTATCTATCTATCTATCTATCTATCTATCTATCTATCTATCCTATCTATCTGTTTTTTAAGCAAGTAAACAAAAACATTCCTACCAAAGATTTAAAAAATTCAAATAAATTCATTTAAAAATAGCGTTCTAACCGTAGATTATATCGAGACCAATCTGTTTGCAAAATTCATTGAGGAGCGCTGATGAACATCGCGGGAATAACACTTTATAAACTAATTGATTGATTGATGTATAACCCTATATTACTCTATATGACCTTATATAACTCTATATAATTCTGCATGTTTATGTATAAGTCTCAATCTAAATTCTATCCTAAGTACTTATCAGATATATTAACTGAACCTAAACGCCCGTCTTCATGTTCTCACTTCTGAACTCGTGTTAAACACTCGCTAAATCTGCTTTTGCTTTTTCTGGCCCTTTTTCTCTGGAACTCTCTAACTCCTTCTCTGACTACTTCTCCATCACTTACGAAGTTCAGAGCGGATCTCAAGACAAAAGGCGAGCGAGCACGAGAAAGCCCATATAATTATATAAAAAAATAACCACTGTTTAAACTGCGCACACATCTTAAATAATTTTAACAAAAAATGTCAAAGTTTGGTGAATAAATTTCCAATAGATTATTATAACATGTAATAAAACGTGGCGTTACGACAAATCCTTATTTGTCGTAACGTTATAAATCATTTATAATCATGTCGTAACGAGTTATAAATCAAGTTTTTTCAAATCTACACACACACACACACGCACGCATACATACACACATAAAATAAAATAATAAAATAAACAATTGTCAAACTTGAATATGCACATGTTCAAGTTCAAATTTATGTATTCAAGACCATTTGGAAAGTTTTAAAGTATAAATTTGAATATAAAAACCATATTCATCCCATAATTTAATGGCCATGATCGTCTTCATCATCATCATCATTATCTGTTTCATCATCTGATTCATTATCATCATCTGATTCATCATCAACTTCGTCATCATCATCATCATCAACAACATCAGCATCATCATCTTCATCTTGAAGATGATGAGTTATGATAATACTCTCCATAACAGAACGACTTGTTTAGAAAATGAGGCTTCACGTAATTTGTCAGATTTTCCACAATTTCCTTGAAGCTGATTCGCTGGGAAGGTCTCTCGTGCCAACATGAAACCATAATCTCCTTCCTGATTGGTCAGTTAATGTTAATAGGTTGGCCAATGAACGACATTCATGAATTTAGATAACCAATAAATACGATGAGAGATAAAAGCAAGCAACTAATGCTACTGGTGACCAGTTAATGTTAGCAGCATATTGGCCAATGAAAAAAATTCATAAATTTAAACAAACTAATAAGAAGCAAGATGGTTAGAAGATTGACAAATAAAAAAAAATTCGTGAATTTAAACAGCCAATAAGATAAGAGATAGAAAGCAGGAGGCTAACGCTATTGGTGGCCAGTTGCTGTCAATCACCAATCTCCCTCCCCCTCCAACGAACGGGATGACCTTCTCATTGCTGAGACTCATGTAGGGCCTCAAACCGCGCGACATCATCTCCCACAATACCACGCCGAACGACCTGACGTCATTCATTCATTCATTCATTCACATTCCTCCATTCATTAATTTACATTCACCCATTCATTCATTGGTGAATTATTTATCTACCCATTCATTCATTCATTTAACCGATTTAAGGATGTTTAATTTTCAATTCGGCTCAGAATGGTTTTACATAATTTTTTAGATCAGTGATCACCAATGGTGGCCATTTAAAAAAAAAACTGGAAATGTGTGTGTGTGTGTGTGTGTGTATGTATGTTTGTATGTATGTGTATATATGTATGTATGTATGTATGTATGTATGAATGCATGTATGTATGAATGTATGTATGTATGTATGTATGTATGTATGTATGTATGTATGTATGTATGTATGTATGTATGTATGTATGTATGTATGAATGCATGTATGTATGAATGTATGTATGTATGCATGCATGTATGTATGTATGTATGTATGTATGAATGTATGTATGTATGTATGTATGTATGTATGTATGTATGTATGCATGCATGTATGTATGTATGTATGTATGTATGAATGTATGTATGTATGTATGTATGTATGTATGTATGTATGTATGTATGTATGTATGTATGTATGTATGTATGTATGAATGCATGTATGTATGAATGTATGTATGTATGTATGTATGCATGCATGTATGTATGTATGTATGTATGTATGTGTGTGTGTATGTATGTATGTATGTATGTATGTATGTATGTATGTATGTACGAACGCAACTAACCACACGTCACTCTCGACATTGAAGCCAGGCCGTCTGAGGACCTCAGGGGCCATCCACCTAACAGGCATGGCTTCCTCAACCGAATGAAACGCTGCTGCTGATGATGAAGATGATGATGGTAATGAAGTGGATGATGATGGTGATGAAGAAGATGATGGTGGTGACGAAGAAGATGATGGTGGTGACGAAGAAGATGATGGTGGTGATGATGAAGATGATGGTGATGATGATGAAGATGATGGTGGTGATGATGAAGATGATGGTGGTGATGATGATGGTGATTTCTGTTGCGATAACGACGGTGGTGAAGAGGGTGAGAAAGTCTGGGAGGCGTTTGTTTTCGTAATCTTTAGTGGCTTGGAATTCTCGGCCTGGTGGCGATAAAGATGGTGGTTGTGGTAGAAGTTTGAGTAATCTGTGTTTCTTGTCAGGCTAAAATCTGGTGGTGGTGGTGGTGATGATGACGGTGGTGGTGAGGTAGGTGATAATGATGATGATGACGTTTGTGATAATGAGGATGTCTGTTGTTATCTATAGTTTATTTCATTTCTTCCAAACTCGCCCAGTCACTCGTCTACTGCTAAAAATGGCGGTCTCGAAGTTTTTTCATCATACTTTGCGTTTGCCGGATCAGGATCCTCCTGGCTAATCAGTTCGTCTGAATGGTCCCAGAAGATACTAAATAAGCACCGGATAGGAACGAGGTCGCCATTCCTTCCTGGCTTCTTCAATCAATCAAACAAATGCTTGATTCCATAAGATCGGAAAGTATCAGAGTTGTCTTAATGCAGACACCTGGGCACCGCACACCAACCAGTCTCATACATTCATTCCTTCATCAATCATTCACACATCCATTCACTCATTCATTCTTTCAATCATTCATTTACTCATCCATTCATTCACTCACTCATTCATTCATTCTTTCACTCATTCATTCACCAACACCACTCAACCGTTTCGAACCGTTTCGGACATGTTTAATCTTACGTTTAATTTTGTGTTATTTTATATTTCGATTGCGCTTTTGAATTTTAACTAACTAGCGCTAGATAAATCTTTTGATAATAATAATAATAATAATAACCGACCAACCAGAAATCTTAACGACAAGATTGTGATCGACGAGACAGTTCCTGGCAGCAAGGTCCCTGTGTATGTAGTGCTTGTGACCGAGGTAGGCCATCCCGTCCGCTATTTCTGCGGCCATTCCCAGCAACAACTCGTTCGTCAGGTCGACTGTCCGAGTAGTCTTCTGACACTTTCCGATGTTGTTGTTGTTGTTGTCTTTGTTGCAGTCTTTGTTGTTGTTGTTTATGTTGCCTTTATTGTTGTTGTTGTCTTTGTTGTTGTTGTTTTTGTTGTCTTTATTGTTGTTGTTGTCTTTATTGTTGTTGTTGTTGTTGTTGAATGAATTGCAGTTGTTACTGTCACGGGAGTTATTATCATCAGCGACTTCATCGTCGTCGTCGTCGTTGTGGCTGCTGTCGTTGCGTCTGTACCTCCTGATGAATGAGAGCAGGTCGCCGTTCAGCATCATCTCCATCACAACCAGGCATGGAGTCGTCGCCGAGACCACGCCCAGCAACTTGATCACGTGATAGCAATCGAAGACTCTGTTGATGGTGAATGAATGAATGAATAAATGAATGAGCGAATGAATGAACGAACGAACGAATGAATGAGTGAATTAATGAATGAATGAATGAATGAAAAAAAGCCTCACTTCATGGCTTTGATTTCCTGTCTAAAGAGCATTCTGTTGAAATTGGCCTCATTTGTATCTCCATTAATTGCCTGTCAGTCATTCATAAATTCCTTCACTCATCCACTCGTTGATTCCTTCATTCATTCATCCATTCATTCATTCATCCATCCATCCATTCATTCATCCATCCATCTGTCCATCCGACCTTGATAGCGACAACTTGACCAAGGTAAGTCCCCTTGTAAACCGTGCCAAACTGACCGCGACCAATCACGTCGCTCGTTGCTGCTATACTCTCTCTCGGGATTTCCCATTTGCTGTGTTCTATTTTTAAAAGTTCAATCTATTTTTAGAAGTTCAATCTATTTTTAGAAGTTCAATCTATTTTTAGAAGTTCAATCTATTTTTAGAAGTTTGTTCAATCTTAATCATTTTATTTTTAAAACCTCAATCGGTCATCAATCTGATGATGAACAAACAATCATGCAAACGAATGAACGAACGAACGAACGAACGAACGAACGAATGAATGAACAAACGAACGAATAAACGAATGAATGAACGAATGAATGAATGAAAGAATGAACGAAGAGATGAATGTACGTACCAAGATAATTTCCATTTATCGAGAACCGTATGTAGCTCTGCCACCTGTATAAAAGTTATCAACCAGCCAGTCGCTGAATCGTTCGAGTTTAACAACTACAAAGCTGAATTTTATCTAAATTATATCCTAACAGTAAATGAATGATAGAGTGAAATTCGGCCAAGAAAACCATGCCATTAAATTCTCTATAAGGTCAAAGGTTAAAGGTCAATCC